TAATGCATCTACCTAGGTTCAGACAGCTAGATAGTATTGTAAAACACGACAGTAGGAATGTATGTTTATAGCAAGAAGTTACAAAGTTTACATAGTAGATATACATAGCCTCCAATCGTCCATTTGCATCTTCCGATGTGTTCTACAATTTGAATTGTCTTCTCGACTAGCCAACACCATGCTTTCAATATACTGAAACTCACCACTCTGTCCGACAACTGTTGCAACTCCGACACCACGTTCCGCTACACACTACTTACAAACATCCTTATGAGCGGAGTTCACTACAGTACCAATAGCCATTACGTAGAGTGGCTAGAATATGAATAAATAAACCTGTACATGGTAAATCAGTCGCACTAAAATTCGATTTAAGCATATTCGTACTGACTGACGAACCAGTGGATAATCATATTTTAAGTGGTTAATATTAAGAATTTTAAATTTTACAAAAAAACCTTATGAATTCGATAGATTTTAAGTTTTTATATTCACATTTGAATATTCTTCAGTAAGCGCTAAAGCTCATCGGAAACGATAACTGAAATCCTAATAAGAATATAATACAAAGATTTGCATTCCACATAAGATGAATACCATATATATTCAAACGAGCAATTTCTAAATAACTATGTACCCCAAAAGTAAATTAATTAAAAATATGACAACATCAACGTATTTGAACAGCAGTCTGATCTTGTTCGAAAACATAATAATATAAAATTTAGGAAAGAAAATAGCTTTGAAAAGAACCTGAGGAAATATCTCAGACTATCGTCGCTAAATGCCTTGAAGAAATTCATTTGATAGATGATTGTTCACACTATTAAAAATACTAACTAATTCTGTACAGAAAGTAATATAAACAAGTTACAGTTTATTTGATAAGTGTGGATTATAATTACAATTATCCTGAATATACATGTTCAAGATGATTATGTAGTAATCACACTCCCGTTTTCTAAACATTCTTTGAATTATCAACTCGATCATCCTCTCCGCATTCAACACGAACAAAGTCTTCAAGGACCATTTCATTCCGTGATAAATGTTCGCCCACACATATAGTTTCATCTAATAGAAAGGGTTGTAGCAGTAGAGATTTCTCTTCTTCCGGATCGGCAGCTGGATTTTCAACAGATTCTAATCCAGGATTTGGATTCATGCCAACAATATGCTGACAAACTTGTCTCCCCAAACGTGAAGCTCGTTCATACCATGGATCATTGGCAGGCTGACATAAAATAAAAAAACATAGTGAAAGGGTTAGAAGTGTTAATTATTCAGTATGGTAAGATATATATAATGAAAAGAAACAGCCCATCGTCGTGAAGTTTCGGATGTCAGATAATTCTTCATAAATAATCTACTGAGTTACCAAGTTTTACAATAGGGGATGAAATGATCGATTAATTACTCAAGAAGCTGTATTACCTTTAACGTCATATCAGGTTCTGAGATAACTGTTTAGGTAAACGAAATCCGTGTTTCTCGCCGAAATTACACATACACCAATCAACATTCAATGGCTTGTGCTGTATGAGTAATATTTATTATTTATTTATTTGAACACATAAAATTGGTACAAGGGGGTACCAAATATATATGCGCCACACAAAACAATGAGAATTCGAAGAGAAAAAAGAAGGTAAGGAGCGTAAAGAAAGAACAATAACGAACAGATCAGTGTAAGATAGTGTAATAATAATAATAATGGGGGAAACGGAAAGGTACAATCAGAAGAAATCTGAAGGAATAAACAACAGTTAAGGAAAAAACAACCGTTTTCTATGAAGAAAGTAAAAGGTTACAGTAGGATCGCCACTGGCTTTTATTCTGAACCATATCTGATAACGTCTCTAACCGCTGTGCTGCACCATCTCTAGGACCCCAGCCAGGGAGTCATGAAGGACCAACAGAAGCCAGCCCTTTGCAGCTTTCTTTCATACCACGACACCATGTCATATTTTAGACGTCAACATAATGATCATATTTATCAAGGAATCATATCAAGTACAATGTTGTTGGTTAGCTTCCTCATATTCTAAAATTAAAAACTAAGACCAAGTTATTTATGTTGCTTAGGATGTAAATTCCTGGTTGGATTTTTAAACAAATGAAATTAATCAACTGCATTTTCGAAAGAACAATAAAGTGCTAATATCTGTATTTCATTTTCTATTGTTGTGGTGAGTTCTGATGAAAAATTAGGTAGTGTCTCCAGAATTGTATGAATAAAAATCAAAATAATAGACAGCTACATGTAATTTTATCTAGAACGTTGAAATTCATATCCAACATTTTTTAAGAGCTTTGATTCTACATGAAACGAAAATGTCGGAGAACAATAAGAAGCTTTACATATGACACAAAAAGTAGTTAGGATCCTCACTACATAGTTTTCTGACAGATTGTACAGCTTTTGAATTAGAATAAGCCATTCCTTTCCTGGAAATATAAAAATATTTCACACACAAAACGTATCTCTAAATCCGTTTTTGCAAGCGTAAAGTGATATAAGTAATGGGTTCTATCGAAAAATCTGACACTTAAGTTTTTATTAAATGAAAAAAGCTTGTAGTGTTTAGAATTAAGTTAGGATGATGATCATGTAAAAATCAACTAGTTCAGAAAGCATTCCAAAGTATGTAAAATATTAGTTGAAGTTTCATGCTTCAATATGGCTCACGATGATCACAAGCTGAGTCGCAAATAAAAACTAGACTTACTTTGTCATTCAATGGTCTATAGCGAATGATAGCAGCATACTTTCCAAAGCGGACATCTCGTATCCCTTGTAATAAACTCTCTGAGCTCGTGTGTGAATAAATAGCCAGACAACTTGTGCTAGTGTTATCAGGGACACAAAGTCCGACAGCTCTTTTTAGTCGAATACTTTCACCAATAGATCCTATGGCTGCAACCGTAATATCTTTCAAGGTAGAGGAGTTGGAGGTTACCAACTTATCCAACTGGTCGGAATCCAACGATAATTTAGTAGGCTCCTTAAATAAAAGCAAAAACAAGGCAGTAAAGCAGATATGAACAAATGCTGAGTGTACATTTACTTTAATCTATGTACCTGGGTATTATTATTTATTGTGGTGATCTGGCATATTAAAGACAGAATTATCATTCTTTATTATATTATAGATAGTTTGAGGAATATAAAAGTATTATTTGTTTGAAGGGCATTTGTAACGAGGAAAGTCAAAGAACATGAACAAGTTGAGAATTCAAAATTTATATATTATCGTGTATTTTAATATCCTAGACTAAAGCTTTTGGCTTTTCATCGTTTAATTTCGAACCACCCAAAACATTGACCGGGTTTTGTGAGTTCACATACGTACATACCAAATCAAATAATTGAAGGCTCAGTTTTCAACTGGATACAGTCAGTTTTTCAGACTGCATTATCAATTCAACAGGAAACCTAATTCACCAAAGTATTTGATGATATTCGTTTGTAGTATATGCTTCTGAAACAACTAAAAAAAGTGGATGCTTACAATAGATTAAGTAAAGAGATATCGAGTTAACTTCAAACGGCAAGTTACAATATACTTGGAGACAATTATCTATATGTATATCAGTTCGGACATGCAAATGAACGATTAAGTGAACTTGTCCATGATTAGTTAAATTCACTACGACAGAGCGAAATTCAGAACGCTTTTTCAAAGTATGTCGACTCAAATATATGTATCACTAGGTAATTTTAAACAGCATTCAGTGGGAAAAATCGCCAGATTTTCTTGCACTCACCAAGTCGTACGCTTTGCTTAAGTCATAATCAAGTAAACTGAACCCAACAGCTATCAGTCAGTTAGTCAGCTATAACATAGGATAAGGCACATATATACATCAGTCCAAATTGCCACACCTCATTAGCACAACAACATAATTACCAAATTCATAAAGGTAGTTACTTCAATGGCAATAATATATGAAAGATTGCATATAAGGATATAATACAGAGCGAAAGAATTTGTTCGTAGAAAGAAAGACATAAAGTAATTTTAATCTCATGGTTTGGTGGAAGACAAAGAGTGTATACACCTACGCCGTTGTGATTGATTCTTAGCCATGTCACCCAGTCTCCAGCCATTGGTTATGATCGTCGCGTGGACCTCAACCAAGTAGTCTGTATCTACCAACATGGCTCAGATCAGAAGTTAGTTACTTCAAAGGCTGGTGCCACGTTTTGGTTTGGCCGCCCCTAAATTTCTTCCAACCGTCTCCAACACCAGTCAGTATTGCGCGCCGTGGTAGTCAGTGGTAGCCTAACCATCTCAGTCGATGTAAATTCACAACCTTATCAATTGATTTACCATTATTCCCTAATACCCTGTGTCTAACCTCACTGTTACTTACCCAGTGATCCCAGCAGATGCGAGCAATATTTCTAAGGCATCTTTGACCAAATACTAGTACAGCAACACTAAACAACTGAAGATATTTTGATGAATAACCTCGTAGTGACCGTAATAATGAAACTCATAATCTACGAACCAAGATACGTAAATGAAATTGGAGCCTGACTAATCAATAACAGAGGAATTTTTGGGAGACTTTATATGAGTTGTAGTTTTTATTTATTAAGGAAATTTAAGATCATCCTACATAGCAATTATCAGGAATTATACGATCTTAAAATCTGAGGATTTCATGGGGGTAAAGTGTAGTTATTAGAGTTTGTCTAATCGAACAGCAGCCAAAAGAACGGTTTTAAAGAATTTTAACTGGAATGACTGGCCGATGTGCACAATATAAGCCATATCTCACTTACAAAGTAGGATATCTTGAAAGCTAATAAAGCAATTTTGAGATGTTAAGTAGCTTCACACCAACTTAGTCGAGTTTCAGGAGTATCATATACGATAGACATCATAAGCTGAGTAACTATTGGCTGGGAACTGAGAAACCGGGTTGTAACACTAAAAAGCAGGATGGTTACAGCTTTTAGGTTATCACGAAAGCTACACATCGACTTTTGCGTTAGTTTCCCCCGCTGCTTAGCTGCATTTTATTAGCAACGCGTTGTACCAAAGTAAAATACAAATTCTAACACGTACTTATTTCTCATACGGGGACGTTTATACAATTAAGGTGATGATTCACAATACAACGTAATGGCTAAAAGTCTTAATATACCATCTCCCCACACGCTCTGGTACGGCCGAGAGTACGGATAGTTTGCTCTCTCTCGAAATGATCTCACACGGCCACGAGTACATAACCACTGCCAGGGAAATCCTCCTCACCACCTTGTCGCGGATGTGTTGTTTACGAAGTTGAAGTAACGAAAAGCGAACACCCGACGCTTAAACTGAGTTGGTGAGTACGAAGAATCCACCTAGGAGAGTTCGAAAACCGTGATCCCAAATCAATGGAGCATATGGGCTCAGTGATTCTGAGGGAACGAATGGCGTATGAACCTATTCTTGGTCAGCAGCTACAACTGGACAACATCTAACGTTGATCCACTTCGTTATGGATTAGACCTCTGAGTTAAAGGTTCGGGCACCGGCTCCCTAAAACCACTTACTTTAGTTTGAGCATCCGGGTAGTATCCCAGCCCACAATTTCAATGAGTTGTGTGGTGCGATGTTTTATCCTGGTGTCCAAACAATATTGATAGAAATAAATTTAATAAACAAAACCAAAGATCAGGAGACAAGTATTTGGACTATTTTGTATCTTAAATCAAAATAGTATTATTACAAAATCCCGAGATTAAAAACGAAGCATCGATAGCAGAACCTTACTGAGTTTTCACCATTTTTACACTAGTTGCAGAAAATATACATTTAAGTCGTCCTATCTGCATATTTTTATCGCCAAATGAAAGTGTGGAAAAAAGACATACGAACAGGATACAGACCAATGTTTACTAACTAGTGTAATCGGACTTACATTGTAGTTAGTCAAAACAGTTTCAGCTACTGTGGCGACTAAAGACTGGAATGAATGGTTTCTTGCGACGAAATCAGTTTCACAATTGACTTCGACAATAATAGCATGACTTCGAGAACCTAGGACCCCTAGAAGACCCTCATTCATCGTTCTTCCGGCTAGTTTTCCTGCTTTTTCCCATCCTCGATTAACAGCTTCGCTAGCTAACCATTCTTTTGCCCTATCAAGATCATTTTCATGTTTGATGAGAGCTTCTTTGCAAGCCGAAAAAGTGAAGCCTGTCAATTTGCGCAGTTTGTATAGTAATGCTTTGTCAGCTGCTTGAGAGAAGAGCCGAATATGGACACAGAATTTAGATGTCTTGCATGCCAAGGTAGGAAAAATCAACACATTCATGTTTATGTAACAACAACATTTAACAGTTGGCCTCCTTAGGCAGTGTTTCAGTATCCAATATCTTTGTCTTCAATCATTCTTCATTAATAAGGACAGTCTGTGTACGTGTGTTAATCCTTGCAGCTTGTTTAACAGTGAAAGTCCAGCTACTTGAAAATATTCGCTAATGGGGCTGATACCACTTGTTCGGGTAAGGCGATTAAGTCATGGACCGCTCGATGAAAAAACGGAACCGTACTCTAGGTTTATGAGATAATGGTCTTGGAACCTTCGTGCTTTGGTCTTGGGGATGATTATTTCTGGAGGGAACATAGATATTAGACATATTAACATCCGAATCGTTATTATAGATATAAAGTGCCAATATAACTTCACCTCGTGTTCTAAGATACAGGCTGATAAGGTTCGGACGTTTTAAGCGCTCACCGTAACGACCCTTCAACAACTTTTTCTCATGCACTGAATGCACTTAAGTGAGTTAGTACCCCTAATAAGACTTGTGCCAGCGGCTTGGATACAATAATGTAGATGTAGTCCCACATAACTGAAACGCCTCTTTGACAAACACATTTGAATGCTCAGCGAAGTGATCATAACGCACGAAAACCTTTGTCAGCTACTGCGTAGCAATGTGCAGTTGTTTTTAGGTTGTGAGTTATTGTTACCCCTAAGTATTTGTGTTCCTTAACACATGGAAGCGATGTACCGTTGATAATATAATGGTAACTATTGCCGTGTCTGATGTGCATTAGCACAGTCTTTCTAGGATTAATTTCCAAGCTTTAACTTTGCAATCATCTGACTAATTCATCCGTTTCACCTTGGAGATCGAAATGATTAGCCTTACTACTTATAGTTCTCCAGAGTTTTACATCATTCACAAACAGTAATGCCAACAACTTAATCAGTCGCGGTAATTCGTTGACATAGAGAAGGAAAAGTAGGGGACCTAAGATAGTGCGTTGGGTTACACTACTGTAGCGGTAAATAAACCCCCAAAATAAATAGCTCTAAGTTTTCGACATTGGATGCTGACCATATGTTTTATTGGACTCATCTAGCTGAAGGCGCTCGGTCATGCATCCGCACCAGATCACGTGTGGTAACGCCGTGCTCAACATCAACCGCAATCGCTAGCCAGATTAGATCAGAGAATTCCGATATATTGGTTATCGCCAAATACGCTCTCCCGATCTCCTCGACTCTGTCTTTTGATTTCTCTGAGTGGGAACGAAATATATTAGGTGTTACTGGTAGAAACGTTGTCAAACACTGAATACCTGTGACATCATCATTGGTGAGACTGACGTGATCTGGTACACCTAATTGCAACTGTGAGTCTGTTCCTTTTGGGGATTTTTTTATATATCATTGCCTTATTTCTTATTTTTTAAACATTGTGATTTTTTTCGTGTTTTTTCTTGGATATATATATATATATTTTTCCCCTCGTTCATTATCGTACTTCATACTTCATCACGACTGAACAGACACCTAAAGTACTCAAGCTTAAGACTTTGTCCCCGCCTTCGTTTCAACTGACGCCTTTCTGGCCCGACAACATCGAAGCCTGGTTTTGCTACGCAGAAGCCGACTTCCAGGAGCACGGCGTGATCGACACACGTGCACAATTCCTCTCAGTAGCCAAGGCACTACCGCGCGAATTCAACAGGTACGTAACACCTAGTATGTTTACTAGTGATGTTTCCGATCCTAACGAAATCTTAAAACGCTCGATTCTTAAACAAGGAGACCTAACCGACCGACAAAGGTTAGGTCAACTCCTCAATAACATCGACCTGCAACACGGTTTTGCGACGGACATGTTGCAACGGATGAGAGAGGTGATAGGCCCAAGAACTTTCGACGAAGGCCTATTCAAACAACTCTTCTTGTCAAAACTTCCCCAACAGGTGCAAGCAGTTCTGGTCTCGTTCCAGAACAACGCCTTAGACGAGCTAGCTGCATCTGCCGACCGCATTATAGAAATTACGAAATCTACTACCGAGGTATTTTCAGTCAAAGAAAAACCTCGAACGACTCAGAATGATATAACCGAGTTATGTCACACACTCACGCGTTATCTTAGTCTTCGTACCGACCGTAAGAGATCGCGCACCCCACGTAGAAGCATTCCACGTAAGCGATCCGTCTCTAGACCACGAGAGACAGATAACCCCGACTAGTGCTGGTATCATAACCAGTATGGGAAGTTTTCCAGAAATTGCAGAAAACCCTGCAACTTTCCCAACACGAAACCGACTGACTCGAAAAGCAACTCGGGAAACTTCCAAGCCGGCACGCGTTAACGGCAACCGTAGCCGGCTAACATAGCCGTCTGTTGTACGTCACAGATGTGACAACGAGAGTTCACTACCTCGTCGACACTGGCGCAGAAGTTAGCGTTCTCCCAGCAAATCCTAACGACCGACTTCACGAATCGACCCTAAACTTACAGGCGGCAAATGGAAAACCGATCGCTACGTATGGCAAAAGGTACGTTTACCTTAACGTGGGTTTACGCAAACCCATTCATTGGATCTTCGTTGTTGCAGATGTTTCTATGCCAATCATTGGTATGGACCTTCTACAACATCACAATCTGATCATCGATACGCGCAAACGGTGGCTAGTAGACGGAAACACTAACTCATCCGTTTGCGTAACTTCTTTTACTGGTTGTAGAGTATTCCCAGTCACAGTTAAGCATATGATAGACCCACTTTATCAGCCACTACTCGATAAGTATCCTGGGATACAACAAACGCAAACGAGATTACCGTGTGTAACCAGCAACGTTACACATCACATCACGACTACAGGGCCACCTGTATTTTCTAAAGCACGACGACTAGCTCCCGAAAAACTAAGGTTAGCGAAAAACGAGTTCGTCCATATGATAGACTTAGGAATCATACGACCGTCAAGTAGCCCATATGCATCTCCGTTGCACATGGTCCCTAAAAAGGACAGCAACGATTGGCGTCCAACTGGTGACTGTCGACGATTGAACGCGAAAACCATTCCCGATCGTTACCCGTTGCCTCACATTCACGATTTGACAGCTACCTTGAAAGGAACAACTGTCTTTTCGAAAATCGACTTGGTTAAAGCGTATAACCAAATCCCTATGGCTACTGATGACATACCGAAAACAGCTATCATTACTCCCTTCGGACTCTATGAATTTTTGCGAATGCCTTTCGGTCTAAGGAATGCTGCTCAAACATTCCAAAGATTCATAGTCGACGTTTTTCGAGGTCTCAACTTCGTACACGCGTATGTTGACGACTGTCTAATCGCAAGTCCGGACAGAGAAACACATCTCAAGCATCTGGATCTTGTTTTCGAACGATTACAAAAACATGGCATAACTGTAAACGTTCAGAAATGCCAATTCGGAACCGACTCATTAGACTTTCTGGGACACACTATCGATGCTCAAGGCATTCGATCCCTTAGGACCAAAGTGGCGGCCATTCTGGATTACCCAGAACCGACCACCGTCAAGCAATTACGCACGTTTAACGGCCTGGTAAGTTTCTATAGACGTTTCATACCGAGATGCGCATTACTCATGAAACCGCTGACCGACCAACTTCGTGGAAATGCGAAATCCATTAATTTGGACGACACCGCGCTAAAAGCATTCTCCACAGTTAAGGAACTGATTGCTTAAGCGACAGTGCTCGCATATCAGGACACCGAAGCACCCATTAGCATCGCAGTAGACGCATCGGACTCGGCAATCGGAGGAGTCTTACAACAATGGGTTAACAAGTCCTGGCAACCCTTGGCATTTTTCTCTAGAAGTTTGCTAGACACCGAATCGAGGTACAGCACATTCGGTAGGGAACTCCTAGCTATGTATTGTGCTGTGCGACCTTTTCAACATTATATCGAAGGCCGTGAATTTGTAGAATTATGGTCTACTATGATATTAGTACTGCTCTAACAATAGGCCTAATCCTAAATTTGTAGATTTGTCGTGATATAACTGCCTAATCTATAAGATCTTACGTGGAAGTCACACCATCGACTACACCAACTCACTGTATCGCATCAATTACCAATACATGATGTAGAACAAGGTTAGGCTGGAGAAAGAACAATATATTTAATATGAATAGAAGATATAAGGTAACATTCAGATGGAGACCACGCCTGCATGGTCGAGCCATGCCATCCGATCAACTCCAATCCATTCAATTCATTGTTCGCGCCTTCTCCATCGTTAGGTATTTCTCCGGGTTAAATATTGAATATCTATTTTCCGAGTAATCTCGTATTCAGCTTTGAGGATTGTGTGGTTATGGTCCAATGCCGCTACAAATTCACTCTTTTCACTGACCATAAACCGCTCACTTTCTCGTTAAGCTCTACTTCAGACAAATACTCTCCCCGTGAGTCTCGACAACTGGACTACATTTCCCAGTTTACTTCAGACATTCAACACATCTCTGGAGCAAACAATGTAGTTGTAGACGCTTTATCTCGCATAACGTCCTTGAACAGTTTCCAAGGCATCGACCTTCGGAAACTCGCCGAGATTCAAAAGAGAGACACTGATCTTCAGCACGAGTTTTCGTCCACAACACTTAAACTACGCATCAAACAGATGGGAACAGGTAAGGAAACCTTACTTTGTGACACATCTACAGGTAGGGATCGCCCAATCGTGCCGAAACGTTATCGACGCAACGTCTTCAATACATTGCACAAACTTTCTCATCCAGGTGTTCGTGCAACCATCAAGCTTATAGCAGAACGGTTTTGCTGGCCTGGCATGAATAAAGACGTGAGGGAGTGGGCACGCTCCTGTGTAAGCTGCCGAAAATCTAAGGTTATCAGACACAATAAATCCCCCTTAGGCTCGTTTAAAACTCCCGATGCTCGTTTCGACCATGTTCATCTGGATTTGGTAGGACCTTTACCAGATTCAAATGGATACTCTTATCTCTTAACCTGCGTAGACCGTTTCACTCGATGGCCAGAAGCAGTACCAATCAAGGACATCACTGCTGAAACAGTGGCTCGCACCTTCGTCGAGCGATGGGTAGCAAACTTCGGCTGCCCTTCAAC